AAATATATCATTAACAATAACAATAATGATAAATTCAATTATAAACTTCTAAATATGTAACCAGTCACTTAAAAGTATTACTACAAATGTATTAACGCATTTTTCGTATTTAGAATTACTACTAATTATAAGTCACCGAAAAATAGAAGCGTTAATTTAAAACCATTTAAAATGATTTGTGGAATGCTAAACATTTGTCTTGATCCATCTTATTATAAATGCATTGACAACTCTCAGTTACATTAAAATAGTATAAGCCAGAACACAAAATAATAAAATCTATTGACTCAAAAGAAAAGACTGTACGACAAAAGACTATCTGAACATTTTTCAAACGTCACAATTCAGAAAAGCAACACTACAAAAATTTGATATATAGGTTAGGTTAAGTTAGAGTGGCGGCCTTTTTTCCAAAATCCATTTAAATTCAGATAATGTTCTGTTGTGACTGCATGGAAAAAAGTTATAGTTTTAAATAAGTATGTCTAATAGATATGCGAACATACTTGACCTGATCACTAAAAACGTATTTTTAAATTAATTTTTCATTATATTTTTTTTTTTGACACTGACTTTACTGATATCTGACAACTCAGTTGTAGACCATACTCTCTAGCTCTCTATTTAGATGACAGATGATCTCTTAATAACGCAGTTATAGGTTATGTTTTAGTTTTTCTATGTATTATTAAACTTCTCATCACGGTTGCCACTTGAAAATTTTTTCCTGTACCAAAATTATTTTAAAAATGTACCATTTCTGTAAAAAAAGGTCCAAAATTTTTTTGGACCTTTTTACTTTTTCGTTCTGTGTTTTTTATAATGTTATAAATGAACAAAATATAAAATAGTGCAAAGTTGCATTTATAAAAAAAATTAATTGGAAATATCCACAATAAAGTTGGGTAGTCAAAAATGTACCATTTTTTAAACATGAGTACCAAACGAAAAAAAAAGTACCAATTTTGGTACTAAAGTACCATAAGAGGCAACCGTGCTTCTCATTACAAAAGTTATACTCTCTAGCTCTCTATTTAGATGACAGATGATCTCTTAATAACGCAGTTATAGGTTATGTTTTAGTTTGTTTATGTATTATTAAACTTCTCATTACAAAAGTTATATTCAAGTTCAACCTATTTACCCTAGTAACCATATTACCAGCATCACATGAAAATGTACAACTTCTTTTAATGTGTTGTGTACAGATAATAAATCGTTCTGTAATAACCCACTTATTAACAACATCCTCTTCTGCTGTGTTGCGTTAGGTTGTGTTGTGTTATATAATTAAATAAGAATCGTATAAATCTACACTCTTATAATATATTCTACAACGTGTTCTGAAATGAGTCTTCAAACATTTGCCAGATTTCTTAATTAATTGTTTTTCTATCAAAACTATTTTAAAAAAAATTTCGTAATACATTTTTGTCTTTAAACAATTTACTTGAACCTCAAGGATCAAATTTGACGTCGGTATGTAAGTTGGCTGCATTCTCTTAAGAAATAAATGCAGTATTCTCATTGAGATACCCCATAAAGATATCAGTCTTGTAGTATGTTGGGTCAAAGGCCACAGCTGATTAAAGTGAACCATGCTAAAAAATTGAATCTCCCTTTTAATTATTTCTATTGCGGTTGTGAAGAAAACGATAAGAGTAACTCACATCTTTATTACTGCCCAGCGCATGTGCTTCATCATTTTACTATTTCGAGGTCTCCTTTTTTAAGAATCTCGACCAACTACAGGATCTCACTCTAAAAAGCATTTTCAGCTGGTTCAAGGTGATTTTTGAATCTCTAATTTTTTTATACTGTAACATAATGAAAGGTTCTAAGTCGTTCTAACCCCTGATTTTTTAATTATACGGTAACACAATAGGCCTACGTGGATTCCTTGGGATCGCCGGTATAATATAACCTTAGACTTAAATTTTATCTTTTTTAATCTTAAAATTTCTTGTGTATATTCTGAACGGAATATGTTGGCCTGCTTCTCAACTTTAATCAACATTTGGGAATACGATTATTTATATAATTTTATACATATTGTTTGGATTGCGATCTATATATATATGTACATACATTAAGACCGAAAAGTTTTCGGAAATTCTCATTTAAAATTCGCGCGCTGTATATTTTTCGATATTTTAAAGTTTATGTAGTTTGGCAGCACTGTCCTTAATTACTATGCCAAAAATGAGCGCGATCTGTCAGACAGTTCGTTTACGGCAGCTGTTGAAACCAGTTCACCTCAGTAGGGCGTTGCGAAAAAAACAATGGAAAAAAATATTGAACAAAGAGTTTGCATCAAATTTTGTGTTTCGAACGAAATTTCGTGTGCAGAATCGTTGCGAATGCTACAAAAGGCTTATGGGGAATCAGTTTTATCGAAAACTCAAGTTTATGAGTGGTACAAAGCCTTCCAGGACGGTCGTACGACCGTCGAAGACATTTCGCAACGCACTACTGAGGTGAACTGGTTTCAACAGCTGCCGTAAACGAACTGTCTGACAGATCGAGCTCATTTTTGGCATAGTAATTAAGGACAGTGCTGCCAAACTACATAAACTTAAAATATCGAAAAATATACAGCGCGCGAATTTTAAATGAGAATTTCCGAAAACTTTTCAGTCTTAATGTATGTGAATTTGGTGCCCAACGTAAAAATCATGTAAATATAAATTAAGCTGAGCTTATTTATATTTTTAAATCATTTTTCCTAGACTTCATTTTAACACAATTTTAATTTAAAACAATTCACTCAAATTTATGAAAAACGCTTTTAAAAATGTCAACAACAAAATAAAAGATATTTTAATTTTATGTTAAATTTTCGTCTTTAACAATCGTCATATATCTTCCTACAATAGCAAATTAAAATTTGAATAAATTTCATATCAGAAGAAATATAGTAACTATGTCCGATAAATATAAATTCGTCAATAAACCTAACCTAAAATGTTTTTTCTATGCAAATTCAGCTAAAAGCTGTTGAACTCAAAATCAAATAAAAAATATAGTAAAAAACAATAAAACAAGAGATACAATAAAAAATTAATAAAACTTGGACTTGATGAAAAGTACAAAGATCTGCACATTTCATTAGTTACAAAATACATTATAGATGAAATACAAACATAAGAGTAAAAATGAAAGCAAATGAGCAAACGAGAAAGAAAACGAGTATACGGAAATTGGCTAAAAACAAAAATAAAATTACACAAAACCAAAAAAAAAAAATGTAAGAAAAACAATAATAAAAGAGTGGCGAGAGTGTAAATGGTTATAACGAAAAGTCCATATATAATTAAAATAAACAAAATAAAAAGCGTTCCCAGAAAAGAAGCATAGAAATGAACAACAACAGAAAGCGTAAAAAATGAGTATAAAAACAAAAATGAAAAGCCCAGCTTCAGCTTCAACTAAAGAGTCAACTTAAAGAAGCACACTAACAAGCAATCATGAGTTGAAAAAGAAAAAAAATGAGTAAACACTGTAGAGCATAAAAATATACAGTAGCTAAAAAATAGAAATGTGTCTCGAAGTGTTAATATAATTTTATTTTTTCAACTCAATACTCTGAATTCTCACTTAATAAGCTTGAGTGAGAACTTTTAATTTGAAAATTTAAAGCGATCAATACACACACACAACACACACACACACATACACACAGACAACTTTTGTGAGAGTTTCCAGCTTTTGCAAAATGCCAGTCTATGACAAAAAAAAATTGTATTGAGCTTGGTTTGAGGAGAGCTTCAGCGGAAGAAACACTACAACAACAACAATGCAAATGAAAAAATTATGTGATCTTAAAATTAAAAGTCTACAAAGAAGTTCAGTTTATATTTGTTATTGCTTGATTAAGCACGGTTAAGCGGAAGGTGGTAGTTTGGTTGTTTCGTAGACGAACGTATAAAATAAAAATTGCCGCCCGCACCTAAAAAGATATAATTAAACATATTACTTAAGCTATTAATATAAAAAATTTAAATAAAATAAATCAATTTATAATATTAAATGTTATGGGATAAAAAGTAATCAAATTTTGTGGATTAATTATTTTTTAATATTCATTGCTACTTTTATGGCAAACAAGTGTAATTAAATCTTAAACTCAAGTTCAAGTGTTCCACAACTGCTTACAATTGCAATGAAGTTTACGTGCTAGAGATTTTAAGTTTATTTAAATACGAGTATAATATTTAAAAAAAGTATATATATATATAGAAACCTATTACTATATATAACAATTACATATGAAAAATTTAGAAACTATAAGTTAATAGTTTATAGCAAGAAATAAATAAAGCCAGCCTGACTAAAAATTTGTTGCAATCACACTTTTTCGTATTTGTTTTGCTTTGACGTTTATTAATATTTGTGTAATCGTACGACGTGAAGTAAAAACTGTATCAACGACATCTACGCTGTCACATTGTCACCAACGGACAGAACAGCGTTGCCGCATATTCGTTTTATTTAATTACTTTTATTATTCAATTCAAGTTCTTGATTATTACTTGTTGGCAATTTTTAACACAATTTATGGTTTATTTAATTTTATTACTGATTTTTATTTTTGCTTAATTTTGTTTGTTGAATTTTTTTTAAAACAAAAATATATTTGCACACATCCTTGCATACTAAAAAGACGCTAAAGTGTTAAATGCATATAAAAATTTTGTCAATTTTGTGCGAGTGAAATCTACGATTTGATTTGAAAATAAATTTTATATAAAAAATAAATTTTATATAATTGAAAAATCACAATGAAAAAATTTAAATATTAAAAAAAATAATAATTAAATGTTAAAATAATAATTCATTTTTATATACAATATTAAATTACTATAGTAATAATTCTGCGTAAAAAAAAACCAAAATAAAATATATTTCTATAAAAAAAATATAAAAAGTGCCAATATAATTCATATACATATATTTCTTCAATAATTCTAATAATAAAATTTATTATCAAAAAAAAAAACATGGACTATATATGCATGCTCAATGCTTTTGAGCAAAATTATTATAATCGTATCAAGGAATTTGAGAGAGTTGCAGCTGCCGCGTCTGCAGCAGCAGCTCATGGCAATTTAAGGAATAACTCCTCTTCATCATCTTCCTCGTTATCATCGTCTGCCTCAACGGCATCTTCATCGACTGCGTCGTCGCCATTATCTGCATCATCATCATCGCCCACAGGCGTTACTTCATTCGCAACCTCTTCAACTACTTCAAGCTCCGTTCCTAATAGCAATCAATATAATCAACAACAACATTTTGCGGCATTTGCACATTCATCAACAGCGGCAGCTGCAGCTGCTGCTGCTGTTGCTGCTCAACAACATTTACAACAATTACAGCAACAACATCACCAACATAACCAACTCTTCCAACAAAACCAACATCATCAACAATCTGCTGCAAATCAAAACAATTCTAATGTTGCCAATAGTTTGCTGTGGCAACCGTGGCGTGATTTGCAGCAAGCAGCTGCTGTGCATCATCGTTTGTATCAACAACAGCAACAGCAACTGCAAAAAGGTTGGTTGCTTTAATCCATTTTTCTACTCTATACTCTATTTTATTATAATAATAATAATATTATTATTATTTTTTGCTTTTTTTTGTTTTTTGTTTTATGTAAATGACCTTAAACTATTTTCGTGTTCCAAACATTAAACAAACATTGGCTCAACATTTTGGTTAGTCTAAGAGTTCTAAGAAATATAAAATCGAATACGAGCTCTTTTGAAGGTTTTTAAATGCAATACTTAGAAGAAAAAAATTATAGTTATTTTTGAATATAACATAAATTTAAAATTTTACTTACATATATACATTTTTACATAAATAGTAAAGGTTTTAAGACAAAAAATAAAACTTAAAAATTTATTATTAAAGTTTAAAGATTAAAATAACTTTAAGGAAAAATACTTAAACAAGTTAAATATTTTAAACCTCAACTTAACTCATAAAAGGGAAATAATTTGAAGGCATTTAAATTGAAGTTATACATTATTACGTAATTTTCATAATATAAAAATGTTTAATATAAACCTCTTCTCAAGCTCTTCTCTTCTCTTCCCATCAACGAACTATTCATCCAACCAATAATACTGGTACATTAAGCATACGCGATGGCACAATTTAAACAATTTCATCTTTCAGTGACTAATTTTTTGCCAACTTAGTAGCAATAGTCTCTATGCTAAACCATTCACTAGACTAAATGGTACCAGTAAATAGAAATACTTAACTAACTTGTTTACTTCAATTTTTCATATTACGTGATTTAATTTTGAAAATATTTTGCATTTGACAATTTAACTGAGCTATTCATAACAATTTTAATTGGTGCTAAATCATTAAACAAGATATAGAATTGTGCTTAATGATAGATTTGGCATAAAATGAATCAATACAGTAATGCCTAATGTATTTTTTAGAAAACGTCTGTAATAAATATTTCATTGCAGGGCTTCGACTCTTTAGGGGGATACCATTAATTTGATTCATTTTAATCCAAGTACTTAAAATCTGTACATTAAATCCTTATTTACCTACCTCACCGATGTGCTATCTAGAGATGGAATACAAATTTTCTTACTGCAATTCTAAGCAAGATACCTTCTGTATAACATACATGTCTACAATTAACACACTACTATAGTTAAAAACAGCAGTATACCCTTACTATTATTATTTTTAGAAGGTACAATATTAACAGCTACTTATGAGATTTATTGTGCTATTATTGGAGGAAAGCTATTCCAAGTTATTTCAAACAAATGAAGAATACTCCCTTACTATTATTATTTTTAGAAGAGACAATATTAACAGCTCAATAAGTGATTTATTGTGCTATTATGGGAGGAAAACTATTCCCAAGAAATAAAACTTACTCAAACCTAACAATATCATTGTGTTCAAGACTTCCGATCTCTTTCATTTAAATTATGGTAAGTTGTATGGAAGTACTAAACCCGTTTTTCAATGAAATCGGAATATCAGATCAAATCAGAATACGATCAGATCCGGATGTCTAGTTACGAAACTAAGATCTAAGGCAGTATATTACTGTTTATCCAAATCTTATTTTATATAACAAATACACGCATATTAACAAGATTTTCTTATAGTCACTACAAAGGTTAATGTAGTGTTTCCATGATTATCAATTTAATTAGTTCGAGATTGTATACTAAAACAGTTTATTTATTTATTTTATATATTTATTATTAATTAAACACATGTTATTATACATATTATCAACTTAAATAATATATTAATACTGTTTTTAGTAATTATTAACATATTGAAATTCATGGATACCAATACCCTAACAAAACCATCATAATCTATATATGTGATTTCTTCCGAAATGCATAAATAAAATCGATTAATATAGACTGCTTTTTATAAATTTAAATAAAAATTTGTGGAAAAAAAAATTTAAAAACAAATTAAAAAAAAATATGTATAATATAAACAAAATATAAAAAAAAATAATTCATTTATTTTTATTTTAAAAAGATATTAAATATATATATATATAAAGATTGCAAAGGTTGTTCACCTAAAATAGTATGAACTTTAAAGTGTTTTGATGATTCAGATAAATGAAGTTTTAGAACGGTTTTTGACTATGTTTACTCTACGATTTTGCGATTATGAAATTGTTGTGTTATTGGACAGGCAATGCTCTGAACACAGATAGATAGATCACTCATGCATACTTCCACAAATGTTTCATTTTACAAGAATTTATTTTTATGTTCAAATCAAAGTTTTAAGACGTGATTGGCCTTTTCTTAAGGAATTAAAATTCCATCACGATTCCGATTTCAATCAAAATAAATTTTTACAAGGCACCATAAAAGAAATAAAACTACCATAAAGCAACGCGCATAATCAATGCAAATATTGGCGCTGTGTCTATGCCTGCATTAGTCAATGTTGGAATGTGGACGCCACCAATAAGGCGACCTGCACGATTGATGGCGGTATCTATCTATAAGAGCACATTCACATTCACTGTTTATATTTTTACAATCTAAACATATGTAAGAGTGTTCGAACAAATTTATTGAAGCTCCAAGCAAATATGAAAAAGGGTTTTGTCAAAAATTATTATTATTATTATTATTTAAATCAATTTTTAGTCAACAATACTCGTAATATTTAATTTTGAAAGTGCTATAAGGAGCTAATAATATCATACTACAGTCACTTCACGAAAGGCGAACAGAGGCGATTAAGTACTTCGAGCGTAATCAATATTATTTAATATTTTTTTGAAATCATTTAAAATATTTAAAAAAAAAAGCTAAAGCCAATTGCTTTGTTTAAAGGTGTTTTGCTTCCTTAGGTTATTGATTTTAATCGAAATCTAAGAATTAATATTGACTTTAATTAACTGAAGTTTCATATCCATATATCCTCTACCAATTTTGACTAATTATTTTCGCCCAATTTTGTTAAAAATTAAAAAAAATAAGGATAAAGACTAAACTCCGAATTAACTTATTGCATTACTATATGTCACAAACTGAATCTCTATCGTCGAACTATTTATTATTAACCCAAATCTTCAGACGTTTTCATTTTATCTCTGAATCGTAGTTTGCATAGCTATTTTTTACAATTACCTGCAAAGCTTAGTAATAAAATTAATGTTTTAATTAAAAAATTATGTTTATAAATTAAGAGCCTAATCAACAAACTTATTTTTCTTCATATCACATATAATTTGTTATTGATTCTGGTGATTCATTCGTTAATACAATCATTTACGTATCAATCAAAATGCAACCATAAAGCTGTCGGCTTAAGTCTGGAATAAATTGTATATATTATTACAATAAATTAAAAATACCTATTTAATAGACTGATATTGTAATATATATTAATTATATATGTATTATAATATTATAATTAGTTTAGATTTGTTAAACAAATACTTATTCATATTCATTAACATTTGTGCCATTTAATACAACAAAATTTGCTGCACAAACATGATTTACATTAACACACGCACTACGATGTTCTGGTATTTTCTAGCCTTTTTTTTATAAAAAAAAATTAATATTAATTAGGAATTAAAATTTTCATTAAATAAAAATTAAAGTTAAATATAGGAAACGATTTAAACATGTTACCAACATTTTTTTTACGAACCGTAAATGTAGGTATATATAAGAAAAAAACAATATCAAGTGAAAAAAGATATAGGTATATAGTAATGGATAGAACAATATGTTTATTATTGATATAGAGCTTAGACAAAAAAATATAGGAAACTGTCGCTAAATGCATATATAAATTGTGAAAGCAACATTTAGTAGAAAAAAAAAGAAAGGCTTTGCCAAAATGAATGACACGCTGCATTACTGTCCTTCTTCCTTTCAAATATATAAATTTAAATATTTTGCTTCTTATTGGATCTTATATATTATTTCTTGTTTTATCTTTAACAAACGTTATAAAAAGAAGCCTAAAATGGGTTTTCCTACCACGCTTTCGCATGTTTGAATACGAACATTGGAATTGTAAAACTGCTGGATTATAAATGAATGATTATATATATTCTCTTACAATTTTATTGCTGATAATTTTAGCGTTAAAAAAAAAAAATAAAATCTCCAGCAATTCATAAAATTAAAAACTGCTTCAAATATTATTTAGGAGAAGGATTAAATATAGTATATAACATTAAAAATTAAAAAGCTAAATAATCACCTGATACCGCATGCTTATAAATTATAAATTAATAAAAGTAATTTATAAAGCAACCATCGATTTGGTTTCCGTAGAGATAACAACATTCAAATGTTAGTATCAGGCATATAGATCCATCGAACTTTAATCGTAACCTCTCTATAGAAATGATATTGTCTAATTAAGGCTGTCTTCGGTGCAGTATGTCTAAAAGACTTTTTTATTTGATGATGTAATATGATTCATCTAAAGATCTGTGTTGTGCAATGATATTATAATGCATCCCCAGGGTTATATATATGTGAGTTGGTCAAATAACCTACTTCAGGGTCTAAGTGAGTTGGTCCCACTACTACATAAAGCTGCTTAGTGAGTTTACTAAGATTATATAATTTTCCATTTATATTAACTTGTTTAGAAACTGTTAAATGGAAGTACTGGAAAGCAGTCAAGGCACAAATTTTTCTCCTACTTTGTATAATGTGTGCTCCAGATTTTCCATTGCTATAAATCCATCTTATTTAGTACCATACATAAGTTTTTTGCTTAAGTTACAGTTGATGTAATTTATAATCTGCATTTGAGCTATTGAAATCATATTTCTTTAATTTAAAGATTTTTGAGTTTTAACCTGAGAATTTTGTTACATTTGGTGATATAGAAACCCCTTACAATAATAAAATAAAATTCTTAAATCGTGATATACTTAAAGATGTATTTTATGTTTGCATGATAAAGATTAAGAAAAAAATAATAGTCTTAACACGATTGTAATATCTATTTTGTACTTTGTATATCTATAATATGATTAAATATGGCAA